AGAAGACTTTTCCACAATGTGACAACAAGTCAAGAAAATTGTAAGGAAATGTCCTACTTGTTCTTTATACAACCAAACATCACTACCTGCAGGAAGTAATCCAAAAAGTACTCAAAGGAATGAAATTGGCAGATGGATGTATTCCCTTTTGTATTTGGAAAATTAAAATATGTACAGCACATCATTGATACTTGTTTTGGTAATCACACATTTGCTAAAAATTACAGCCATCATGGGAATACCTGTACAAATATAGACAGACAATGCTCCAGCATATGTCTCTAAGCAAATGAAAAAGGTTTTTGCTTATTATAATACAAAGCATATTACAGGTATACCACACAATCCTACAGGACAAGCAATTATAGAAAGATCAAATCAAACACTAAAGTATATTTAAATGAATAGAATGGAATAATAAAGACCCCCATAAACAGACTACATAATTCTTTATTAACTTTGAATTTTCTAAATGCTAATAAGAAAGGAACAACAGCTGTAGAGAGACATTGGATGGTAGAAAAACTATGAAATTAAATCAGTTCATGTACTTTAAAGATGTACTGACCTCAGAATGGAAACCAGGACATGTGTTAACATTGGGGAAGGGGTTTTGCTTTTGTTTCCACAGAAGAAAAATTATGGATCAAAATTAATAAAGATTTGATTTGAACAAGAGACACCTCTTAATTAGAAAAGATGATAATAGTTCATCAAACATCATGGCTGTTTAATTCAAACTAACCTATAAAACTAGTAAATGCTTTTCATTTGATCAGAGACAACCTCCCCAAAATTAAGGTCAGGGAAGAGTTTTGTTTCTGCCTTTTCAGGAGAATGAAGAAATATAACTAAGGAATCCTAAGACTACTGGACAAATGAGACATCTATAAAAAAGAACAAATCATTCAGAAAAAAAAAATGTCTCAAGAAAAAGTAAATTGGCCTATTGGTATATCACATTTACAATAGGAAAAATTTCAGAAATCTTCCCAAATGCTTGTTTCTGCTGTTCTCTACAGACATATAAAGCAAATAGTCATTGTGTAGTCCCAATTCAGTTAAAGATTAAAGCTGGCTTTGGAGTTCAGGTGTGGCTCTCTCCTTCTCTAAACCCAAGCATGCTTATTAAAGTGTAATTCAAAATCTCTGTCTCTTGTCAGAAGAGCCACCTGATATGGGACAGAAGAAAAACAAATATTTAAGGACTACTTTATTGCCACTAATCTCATAATTCAATGGATATTCAAACAGGATAAAATTTATAAGAATAATATATATTCTAAACTTTTGGTTATGACATTAATGGTCATATAGAATACTAACTAAATTGAGAAAATGCTTCATTATCTTTCTATACATGATTTTAGGCTTGAGTCTCTATCAGTTTCAGCAGTGTACCATGACCACACCTTACAACGACCTTTGACATCTCCAGAAGGAAGATGGGGCCCCACAATGAGGATTCCTCCAGGACTGTGTTAACACCATTAAGGCTAAAACACATCATCTAAAGATCAGTTTCACTACAACAACTAGACTACAGATGGGTCAGAACAATCGTGGTGACCTGAGATGATCCGGCCTCACAGACTGCTCTAGCCAGGATATGGGACAAGTCCTGTACTTTCCCATTATGCAGAGACTGGACAACAAATGATACCACTCTCAGGACTTAATAGTTAACCCAAATTTTTCTGTTCAGGATCCCCTAAAGATACCATCGCCCCCAGACAGCAAGAAGCAAATTTAAAAATACGCCGCCCACATTCGTATGAGGTGGGGTAGAAGATTTTTGGCCATTCAGTGTGTTGTGGATATTTACCATTGTTTAGGGGGGTTGGTTATAAATTATTATTGGTTACAGTCAGTAGGAAAGTTGAACAAAGGATATTAGATATTAGATCATCAAAACAAGACAGAATTCTTGTTTTCAAAAGAAAAAGGGGAATACAGATATGATAGGATAAAAAGGTAGATTATAAAACTCTACTCTGGAAAGTAAAAAGGGAGGATATAAATATGAATTTAAAAATTTATAGATAAAAATGTAGTTTTTAATCTACTTTTAAAAAGCAACTACTAGCTTTAAATATTTTACATTGGACTTTTAGATATTGTATACAAATTTTGTGTATTGATATATATTTGAGATTAATTTTGTTAGAACATACTACACACACATTTCTACTCCTCTTCAGGAAATTGTGCCCATACAGATCATTTAACAATGCAATGCAGAATTATAGTCCTTGAAGATTATTATTACCATTGTTTAGGGTAGTAAGGAAATGCAGGTTAGTGATTAGTCACCTATAATAGTTGAATTTGTAGTCACATTAGGTATGTTCTCAAGGTCAAACAAAGATATATTTTAGATAGACAGGTCATCTTTAAACACTTCAGAGACCTACAGAACATGATATTTAAGATGTTTAAATAACATAGGCTCTATTTCATGACAATGAGACATGTCTGCTCCTGGCAGCACCAATCTACTTCAGAGAAGATGATGGACATCAAAGAAATTCCACAAGAAATTTTCTTTCTTTGAAGTAAAAGGAAGTCACTGGGCAAGAAACTGCCCTTGCCTCAAGTGCTGACAGTGTGCTGTCCTATCCGGATAAGCAGGACACAAAAGAGAGTGATTGCCACAGTTAAGACAAGGTGGGACAGCTCTTCAGAATATCAAAGTCTGTCGGATATTCTAGATCTGTAGGCTAAAAATGGATGCCTCAATGTTTCAGAGGAACTTTACATGACTGTCCAGGCAACCAGCTGTTTCTGTCATTTCTCATATTTTTTTGGAAGTTGCTTGCTTGAACTTCCTGCTTACTCAGGTAATAATATTTTCTTCTTGAGTCTCTGAGGTAACTGAAGACTCAATAGTTATAGTTTTCCTTTTTTAACAGATTCAGAAAAGAGGTATAAAGTGTAAAAGGCTGAGAGACATTAAAAATAATTTGATAATGCAAATTAGGATAAAAAGTGAATTAGGTTCAACCTTTTGAATTCATCAAGATAGGATAGATATGGAGTATTTTCTCTAAATTTGTCAAATGCAAATAAATACATTGTTGATGTATATTGTGCATATTGCACAGTTATTGTATATAGTTTTTCTTATACTTATTGTATATATTTTTCTTATATTACTTATAGCCCTTTTTTATTTTAGACAAAAAAGGGGGGAAATACAGTGATGTAGTATTTGTGTTTTAATAAATAAAGCTTGCCTGAAGATCAGAGGGCAAAGCAGCCACACTAGTTAGCCATACAGGCCAGGGTGTGGTGGCACACACCTTTAATCCCAGCAGCCACACTAGTCAACCAAAGAGACTGAGCAGTGGTGGTTCATGCCTTTACTCCCAGCACTGGAGAGGAATTTAAAGTGGAGGAGACAGGTTTTTTTTTCAGGTTCAGTCTGAGGATTTCTGGAGGCAGGATTTCCCACTACAGTCTGAGGTAGAGGTAAGAGCCAGGGGCTTGCTGCTTTCCTTTTCTGCTCTTCAGTTTGAACCCAAATATCTGTTTCCAGGTTTTTATTATTCATGCTACACCTTACTAATTTCACCATCAAATGTACATTATTAAAGGAACACAGTATTTCTGAGAAAGACATCCATAGGGACACATCAGGGCCATGTCTGAGTCAGTGGCTGCTGCTGCCACGGTCTGTGCTGGTGTCCAACACACATGTAGCCACCATCCTGGGTGGTCTGGGCACTGGAAACCTGGCCCTGCCCCTCACTCAGCAGAAGAGCTGTGCAGTGTCATGGACGAAGGAAAGCTGTCCCCAGGACCCTTGGTGACTATGGAAAACCTTCCCTCCATTGCCATCCACAAAAACAGAAGAAATGGCCATGAAAGTTGAAGAGCTGGCCCCAATCCTCACCTGTCCTGTTTGTGGAAGAGCTAGCCACAATGGCACGGGCGAGGGAGACTTGGCCCCACCACTGGGTGAGAGGACTGGTCCTGGTGGAGAACAACACTGACCTGGCCCACACCCAGGACTTTGAGTTAGCCCATCCCAACAGCTACCTCATCTATGACTTACTGGAACACGTGAAGAAACTGGTTCTGTGGAACCACAGCCACAGGAACTCCATGACAACGGGTAACAGCAGGAGATACCAGAGAAATCTTAGTGGGGGTCCAATATTGGACCCAGAAGCCAGAGGCCTTGAACCAGACCAACAACCCATTGCTATGAACATTTAAAAGCAAAGCTCTTTGGACAAAAGGGTCTAACTGTGCCACACACCACAGCTTCCAAGGCCACTATGACAAATGACTATGTGATGGCGAGGCGGGAAAAACAGAGAGGTGAAATCACTATTCTCTGTTTTTTTTTTATTTTAATTTTCTTTTGTGGGAAGAGGTACAGTGATAAAGGACGGCCATGGAAGGACAGGGAAATAAGTGGGATTGGGGCACACGATGTGAAATTCCCAAAGAATCAATTAAAAAATTACGTTAATAAAAAAAATAGAGGTTTTTCATTTTCTTTGGTTGTAGGCAGACTTTTCTTTCCTGCCAGCCAGTTCCCAAATAACCACATGGAAACTTATTAATTATAACTGTTCAGCCGATCGCTTGGTCTTATTACTAATTAACTCTTACAACTTAAATTACCCTATTTCTATTAATCTATGTGTTACCACTGACTCATGGCTTGATCTATCCTCCAGCATGTCTGGTTCCCTCTGCATTTCCTAGTAACTCTCCCTTCTTCTTCCCAGCGTCCTCTCTGCCTGGAAATCCTACCTAGCTACTGGCCATTTGGCTTTTTATTAAACCAATCAGAGTGGCACTTTTTCACAGCGTACAAAAAGATTATTCTACAACATTGGGTCTTAATAAAAATACAATTTCATTTGTTTTCAAAAGTTTTGTATAAAGCTAATACCTGAGCATAGACATGTTGGATTTTTTTCCATCCACAAATTATAAAAATAAAAATAAGCATAAACCACGGAGTTTAACCAGTTCCTACTTACCAGAGAGCAGGGAGTTTCAGAAGTTTCCCGTACAGGGCAGTGCTGAAAGAGGGGATAATCGGTACAGGTAAGCAGTAAGATCCACTGTGAGTCAAAGATGTCAGTCCTGCCTGGAAACCAAACACCTGAGACAACAGAGCACAATCAAATGTTCAGAGCTGAGTAAGCAAGGATGAGACGTCTCGTCAGCTGCACAAGACAGATGCTACCATGTTTGTTCTACTCCCCAAATGAAGCACCGAGAAAACATGTTCTTCTGTTTGAGACGGTTTGACAACAGTTACATTTCAATACTTTACACTTAAACTTATCTGAAGTGATCCAAAATGATTGTCTTTTTACATTACATTACAATATGTAACGAAGGAGCACTAGCTTATCAACTGAGAGACAGGGAAGTACTTTAATCTTTCTCATGAAGTCCATCACATGGAATCCACTGCTTTTTTTTTTGGTCTAAAACTAGGTTGCCAAGATGACTCGTCAGATTAAAGGGGCTTGCCACCAAGCCTCTCAGAAGCTCAGCAGAAACATCTTTCACGCCCTTGTCCTGTCAGCACCACATGTGACCATATATGGGCAGGCCTGGAAGCAAGCACCTCTGCCCACTGAGCCACCTCACTGACCTTATATCTGAAATGTTTTTAAGTTTGGGCTGGAAGGACTTGAGGGGTGGTTTGCTGCACGAGTATAAAGATATGACTTTGGTCCCTAGCACCCATGGATAAGAGCCAGCTACAATGACACATGTCTGTAACCTAAGTCAAGGGTTCACTGGACAGTCAATCCATGAGCTGCAGGGACAACAGAGACCCACTATCAGGAAATCATGTGCAGAGTGATAGAGGACATCTAATGTCAACCTCAGCTTCAGAGCCAAATGGACAAGGGTATGTATCCACATGTATGTATGCATGCATGCCACTAAACAAATAAGACATGTCTTTTACATCAAGAAATTAATGTGAGTCCAACAAGAAGAAACTTACTAAAAATAACATACGTTGAAGTGTTATGAAGCATTATGCCTATATTAATATTTATTTTCAAGCATTCTGAGTTTGTTTGAAAAAGTACCCACGTTAAACATATTTGTCATACTGCTTACAAAACTCATTATGAGTGATATTTTTAAATCTTCAAAATTGTAAAATCACAATTGCCTTATAAACAAACTACTAATTTCAAGGAATTGAAAGGAAATTTTAAAATAGAAACATTTTAATTACACTGCAGTAGAGACTAAGTCTTACTTAAATCTTAGCTTATGAAATATTGATTCTATAAAATTACAACCTTAAGAACAAAGAAATACATTTGCTATTCCTAAAGTGAACAGACAATAACAAACAGGGAACTTTGTCCATACCTTGAGGTAGCAGTGGACATAGCAGTAATGAAGCAGACTGTCGGAAGGCTGAGGGAGGCTGTTGACTACATGCACCAACTGCTCGGCATACATGGGAACAGAATGCTCCAAATTAATTTTATCCACCAATATCTGAATGGATGGCAAAGGTCGAAGTGACTGGAAGTTTGTGGCATTCATGAAATTACTTGAGTTCTGGAAAGTAAGGGTATTAATTTTAGCAGAACAGTGACTGATCTACATACATCTCTCTAAACAAACTTCAGACCCTCATATTTCACAGTGGAAAACCTCTCTAGAAATGCCTTTGTTAGAACTCTCATGAAATAACTAAATACAAATGTCTTTTATATATTTCAAGTATGTCTCAGCTTTTAAAGAAAGCATTTTAGGTAAAATTAGTCTTGCACTTTTAGCTAATGAGTTTTATTTTTAATTAACAGAAAGGAGAATTATCACCCCATTTCCATAACCATTCTAAAACCTGAGAGGATAACACTGTAAAAGACATAATAAAGTATACATGAAGCAAAAATATGACCCAAAGATATTTCCTAAGAATACACACATTAAAGGTCCTACATCTGAGGAGGTTTTGGTAATGGCAGTGTTCCACTTACCTTTCTGCTCACAAATTGGCACAGACAAGCTTGAGAATGTATCCTGCTGGTAAGCACTACCTCTCTTAGAGCTAACTCTCAAAGTAACTTGGTTCTAGCTTCCAATAAAGAAAATCAAGACCTTCTTTGTCTTGAGACAACCTATTTACATACAGTTTCTCTACCCCGAAAGTCAGTCATTTTCCCAGAGAAACAGTATGGCTATAATTCACAGCTGAACACACTACCCTCACTGTTTGTTTATCCTCAGTAATTATGAAACTACTTTCAATTTGCTATTGTTTTGTTTTGCTTTCTAAATTACTATGGCTTCCTGGAGGTGGGGGGGATGACATAAAATGAACCACACCAGTCTGAATTGAGAATCACAATGATTCTATGTAACTCCTGCACATTTGAGGACCTCCAGAAGACTGACTGACTCCTTTTCTGGTCAAGACACTGCCACTGGAAGAAACCAACATTCTTACTTAATCACTGTAGCTCAATTTTGTCTCTTTTGAAACTTCACATAAAAGAATCATACAGAATACTCCCTTTGACTAAACATCTGCAGGAACTGTGTATGTCCCTCATTCTTTAAACAGACACATTTAACATTCTGGAGTGGTTCCTTTTATTTATGATGATATTCTCTTTTTTTTTTTTTCTTTTTCTTTCTTTTTTTAATGGGGCCTCTCTATGCAGTTCTGAACATTATGTAGACCAGGCTGGCCTCGAAATCACAGAGACATGCCTGCCTATGCCTCCCAAGTGCTGGGATTAAAGGCGTATAACTAGTATACTAAGCTCAATTTCTGTTAATATTCTTTACTTAAATCTTTTACTTGATGCTACTAGGATTAAAAGCCTATTCAAAAATCCAAATATCTTAATAAATTCTAAAAGTTTACTGGCAAAAGCTGTCCTCAATTTTTTCTTGGCTTCTCCTTCATTTTCAATTATGCTTTTCTGAGATACCCCGTCCTAGGTCCCCAACTCTTCAGCTCTTCCACTCCGCGTCCTTCTCACTTTGTAGTTTCTTAGGGCAAGTCGATTGTGCACTCCGTCTTTGCTCCTTTGCAGAGAAAATATTTTTTCCTTAGACTTTGTTTTAGGGTTGTTTCATGAGTATGACTATCTCGCCTGCGTGTGTATCTGTGTAAGGCTGTGTGCCTACTCTGCAGGAGTCAGAAGAGGGCACTGGACACTTTTCTTGCCCATTTTCTTTGAGCCCTGATAGGGGTAATATATCAGCAGTAAGTACACACAGAAGTGTGTGAGTCCTAAAACAGCCGGTTCTGGTTCTGAACAAGATGACTTCCTTAGATTATTGGCTTCTCTCATTCAGATAAGACATTAGGGCTTTCTAAATACCACTCCTCAAGTACAGCTGGGGACCTATAAAGAATTTAGCTGCAGTGTAGGACAAACACACGCTCTTTCACACATGATATAAGTCACTTGGTCCTTTGATTGCAGTTCTGTCGTGAGGGAAAGAAATTGACAGCAATATTGATTTTGTCTTCACTGTATACATAAAGAAATGAAGGGCAGGTGAGGTGACTCACCCTAAACCTAAAGACCTAAGGTCAATCCCTGGGACCCACGTAGTAGAAAAGAACTGACTCCCACAGGTTGTCCTCTGACCTCCAGAACTGAGCTAGAGCAAAAAGGGGACACACAGAATGTAAATAAATGTTTAAAAGAAATAAAGATAATTCAGCAGATCTTTTGATTTTTAACACCTAAATTAACAACTGTCTGAGACAGAACACCCAGAAGAGAAGACAAGAGCTGAAGTTGTTAAACAACTGCCAAGTAAACAGCAGCAGAGGCTCTCACTTCTAGACGCCACACTCTTTAGCATTTCCTTACATGGCATTAACATAGATTTAAGAATTTTTTAACAATGTTACTTTTTAAAAATCAACAACTATAGTTATAATGAATTTACTCCATAAGGGATACACTTTAATATTGAAAATTATGCATGCCCCACAGGAAAGAGGTTACTGAACAACAAATGTACCTTTCCTCCCATGATTACGGGAAGCAAGCGGTCTAGCAAATTGAATTCTGCCATTAAAATCGTGCAAGTACATTTGAGAAGAGTAATACTTGTGTGCCGAGTAGGAATATATTCCTCCAAAGAAGCCACTTCCTCAGGATTCAGTACTGTTTCCTTTTCATCCTTACTTTCTAAAATAAAAATGATAGAAATTCAATAAAGAATATTTTAAATAAGTTAATTTTTTTAATCAACTAAAAACTGAGTTAATCAGTTCCCCAATTTTTAAGGGAAATTAAAATTTTAATTTTAATGAAACAGTAATAAAATATATTACTCTCAATTATAATACAATTACTGAATAATATAAATGTATAAGTCTGAGATATTTAGGAATTAAATGTTTTATTTTAACATATCCTTTCAAGAGTTTCTAATTTCGTTAAGATAATATCAATTCTGAACATTAAAATACCACTAAAATTAAAAGTACAAAGACAAGACACAAACTAAAAAAAAAATTGCCACAGACAGATAAACAGATAAAGATATGTACATGTGGAGACAGAGATCCCTATGAAGATAGATTTGTTTTAGGATTTATTTTATGTGTGAGCTTTTTGCCTGCATGTATGTCTGTGTGGCACACATGGGCCGGAAGAGGCTGTCAGATCCCCTGAACTCATATCATAGGTGGTTGTGAGCAGCCACGAAGTGCTGGCACTAGCGTCTGAGTTCCAGGAGACAGCAGCAAATGCTCTGAGCAATCTCTCCAGGCCCCAAGATGGGTATTAAAAAAATAAAAATAAACGTAATTAAGGAAAAATAGGACTGGGGTAACTTATCCAACTCACCCAATATACGACTTCTCCCAACAACTAGACAGTAAATAAAAAGCTAGACATTGCTAGCAAACTCTCACTGCAAATCAAGTGGCAGTGATGTCCACTAGAACAGACAAAACTAAAAGTGTGGGAATCACTGGATTCTGAAAGGCATATAGGAAGGTCACAAACTATCTGTAGAGTGATACTGTAAATAAACACTAGTCTTTGTGGGCCAGAGCAGGTCACAGTCACTCAGACAGACACTATAGCACACAGCAGCCAAAGACCAACAACAGTCACATGAGCAACAACAAGTATCTACTCATGGGACTCCATGTGGCTAAGTAATTGCCTAGAACATGAGGCCTTGGGTTCAAAACACACATTAGAAATATTCAAACTTAAATTTCATATAATTTTAATATGTACAAAATGAAATTCTCCAACTGTTTAAGACATAAAACCATTTCTGCTGTGGATGATCCCATAACCATACTGATGAATATTTTGCATATCACCATAGATCCTTCACCTGGCGATGGATGGAGATAGAGACAGAGACCCACATTGGAGCACTGGACTTAGCTCCCTAGATCCAAACGAGGAGCAGAAGGAGGGAGAACATAGGCAAGGAAGTCAGGATCACGAGGGGTGCGTCCACCCACTGAGACAAAGGGACTGATCTAATGGGAGCTCACCAAGGCCAGCTGGATATGGAGTGATGGAGCATGTGATCAAAATGGACACTCTGAACGTGGCTGGCAATGCAGGCTGACTGAGAAGCCAAGGACAATGGCACTGGGTTTTTATTCTACTGCATGGACTGACTTTGTGAGAGCCTGGTTTGTTTGGATGCTCACCTTTATAGACCTGTGTGGAGCGGGGAGGATCTTGGACTTCCCACGGGGCAGGGAACCCTGACTGCTTTTAAGACTAGAGAGGGAGGGGGAGGTGGGGAGGGGAAGGTGGGGAGGGGGAGGGAAAAGGGGGGGTGGGGAAGAGGTGGAAATTTTTAAGAAAGAAAGAAAGAAAGAAAGAAAGAAGGAAGGAAGGAAGGAAGGAAGGAAGGAAGGAAGGAAGGAAGGAAGGAAGGAAGGAAGATTTGGTAGCAGGCTATAATCTGATCAAAAGCAACTGAAAGTCTCATCATCTACTTATAGGACTAAAATGGATCAGTCACTCAAAAATGCAGTATGGAAGTGTCTACTGAGAGTGAAAATGGATAATCATTTAATCCAGTGTTTGCTATGAAAATAGCACAAGAACTAAAAATTTAGCAAGCTTTCATTGAAAGTAAAATGGATAAGTACATTATATCCACACAAAAGAAGTCTATGCATCAGGAAGAACAAATCCCACAAATATAAGAAGAGCAAATGTTGCATAATTCCATTTATAAGAATTCAAGTCAAGCTTGGTGGTGCATGCTTTTAATCCCAGCACTCATGAGGCATAGGCAGATAGCTCTCTATAAGTTCAAGAACAGTCATATCTACATAGCAAGTCCCAGGCTATCTAAGGCTAGACAATGAGACCTTATTTCAAAAATAAAAAATAGTAGAAAAAAGCATTCAAAAACTCCAAGTACTCTTAGATACTAGAAGTGAAGACAGAAAAAGAAGTATTCTAAAGACAGCGAGATGAGGATTTCCAAACTGATGGTATTTTTCTTTCTTGAGTAGTTATTTAAATAAACGGGGTTAAGCTTGCAAAATTCATAGAACTGTACCCTTAGCTTTTCACTTAATTATATACTGATTGGGAAGTACAGAAAAATAATTCAGCAAAATTGTTAAGAACTTTTACGATGTAAAACAAGTAACCATACATATCTATAGGCAAATATGTAAGAAATTCTGCTAATATAATTGTAGAATTCAAGCATTAGTTAGCAAGTTATATAAATTATATAAATCATGAATTTAGAGGTGTTCAGTCCACAAATCATTAGGGAAGCAACAGGTGAGCATCATGATCAGTCACCAAGTCTATCACTTCTGTTGTATCTGCTTAGATAATTACTACTGCACATCTGCTATTTTGGCACATGTTTAAACAGTAGAACATGTACCACTAATAAAAATGTGTGACATTTTACAAAAATTAGTGATCTAAACAAAAGTGATCATGAAAGACAAAAGTGAAGCAAAGAAACAAAAACAGACAATACAGCAAGTAAAATTCTAGTTGAATATAAATATTACATATTTAAGTTGAATGCAAATATTTTTATATTATATATTTATATTGAATATATAATGATAAATATATAAATGATAAATATGATAGACTGGCTTACCATCAGAATATCAACAATGCACCATTTCAGCCTCTACACATGCAAGTAGAGGAACTTGGTAAAAACAAACACCACTGACAATGGGGAGAAAAGAGAGGAAGTGATGCAAGCAAAGCAAAGCACGTCCTGCAAGACCTCTCAGGGCTGCCAAGACTTTGGAGATGTAAAGGAAAAAAATCCTGAAATCTTATCCAAACAGAAAAAGGAGTGTCAAGCGAAAATTACTCAAGAACAATACAAGAACTAACCACACTGTAGGTAATTTTGCTTTGCTTTGTTCTGTTTGAGGGGAGTGTTTATTTTCTTGCTTGTTGTTTTGAAATTTAAACTCTTATTTTAGTTTTTATAACTTCTTTTATTTTTTGTTTTCTACACATGTGTAACAAATAGACTTGTTAGCTTTAATTTGGTTGTAATACAACCAAAGGTTGTAGAACAAATCTATTTTCTCAATGGTGACTAACATCTTTGCTTTGTACTCTTATTTTATTTGCTTAAGTCCAGGTCTCATTACCTAACCCAGGCTGGCCATGTATTCTGATTCCCATCACCCAAGTACTAGGAGATACACACACACACACACACACACACACACACACACACACACACAGTATCATATTTATCAAATAACCAACTATTTCAAATTTTAGATATTTTATATATTTTTAAATATTGTGTTTGCATATATACATATATGTGCATTGTGTACATGTGTGTGTATATATATGTATATATGACATAATTATTGTGCCATGGAATACTCCTTTACACTGTGTAAATATATGTCACTGTGATTGATTTAATAAAAAGCTAAATGGCCAATAGTGCAGCAGGATTTTGGCAGAAGGAACACTAGAAGGAAGACGGGCAGAGATGCCAAGAGTTCCTAGCAGACACAAAATAAGCTCATAGATGAAATAAATGAGCCTCGGAGCAGAACATAGATTAACAAAAATGGGTGAATTTAGATTATAAGAGCTAGTTAGTAACAAACCTAAACTATGGGCCAAGCCTTTATAACTAATGAGATGCCTCTTGTGGTTATTTGGAAGCTGGCTAGCAGACAGAAAAATCTGCCTACAGGAAAGATCACCAATCGCCTTGAAATAGTCACTGCCCTGTGCGGTGGTTTGGGGGAAAAAAATGACCCCCAAAGGGAATGGTACTTTAGAAGGTGTGGCCTTGTTGGAAGAAGAGCTTCACTGTGGAAGAGGGCTATCAGGATTCCTCTGCTCATGCTACCCTTAGTGTAGCAGACAGTTCTTCCTGTTTCCTACAGATTAACATGTAGAACCCTCAGCTCCTTCTCCTGCACAATGTCTGCCCGCATGCCACCATGTTTCTGACCAAGAAGATAATGGACTAAACCTCTTACACTGTAGCCATTCTAATTAAATTCTTTCCTTTATAAGAATTGCTATGGCCATGGTGTCTCTTCACAGCAATAGAAACACTAAGTCTCCTTATTTTTTGTTTTTGTTTTTCATTTAGAAATAAAACTCTGAATTTATGTCAAGTATATGAGGTTAAGAGGTCATGTCACACTTTTGACAAAATGATAAAGCCAATTCTACTACTTCAACCTGTTTCCTATGCTGATGACTAAAATCATCAACTGGTAATCACTAATCTGTGCTGAAGTCAACTACTTTCAGCTTGAAATTAAAAGGGAGAAAGCTATCAAGGAAGACCCCAAATATTAACCTTGGACAAATATCTCATCACATATCTATTGTATATAGGATCCAGGTCTGACTTGATACAACTACAGTACTGACTTTTCACCTTGATACCCTGACATTCCCACGGATGACATGCAGCTTTCAGCTCAGTTTAAAACAGCAATAGGCTTGTTCATTCCTTTTAAAGTCACAGCCCCAAACTCCACATTCTAGTCAGCATAATCAATGACTAAAGGCCCAGTCTTTAATTTTACTACAGAAGCTTCTATTATAAGAAAAAAATGAATACTGAAACAATTATCTATGTTTCATGAAAGTTTTAACTCAGTTTATATAGAGGAATTGAAAATTTGAAATGTTACAAAAAGTGAGATCACAGACCAGAGATCTGGCTCAGTAGCTAAGAACATTTACTGTGCCTCTGGGGACCAAAATTTCTTCCCAGCTGTCAGAAGGCTCCTATAAATCAGTTCTAGTAGATCTGATCTCTTCTGGTGTCTGTGGGTACCTGTTACATGTGACATACATTCATACAAACATACATACATACCCATAAACAAAAAATTAAGTGAAGAGGCTGGAGAGATGGTTCAGCTGTTAAGGGAGTACTCGTCCAGAGGACCCAGGTTCTTTCCTAACATCCACAAAGCAGCTGACAACTGTCCAGTTCCAAGGGATCCAACACCCTCACACAGACAGGCAAAAAAGAGAAGGAAGTAACAAAGGGTGGTGGTGGCGGCACACGCCTTTAAATCCCAGCACTCAGAAGACAGAGGAAGGTGGATCTCTGTGAATTCAAGGCTGGCCAGATATACAGAGCAAATTCCAGGACAGCCAAGGCTACAAAGAGAAATCGTGTCTTGAAAAACTAAAAAAGAATGAGAGTTGAAACTCAAACCGAAAGTGACTTCACAGGTGAGTTCTTGGCCAGTACAACATATTCTCTCACTATGGTAAGTTCTATGGAGTCATTTCATTGAATTAAAAGTCATTTATTTTAAAAATATAAATATAATTATCTTCATAGCGTATATTAAATTTAGTTAACAGCAAACTCAATTTTATCAGCAGTTCCCAAGTTTTCTTAAATGTTAAATCTGCATGTTCAGGTAACACTTCGCAATCACATACTAAAAACAGTAGCAAAAGCACAACAATGGGGCTGGAGCACTGGTTCAATAGTTAAGAGTACTGGTTACTCTTCCAGAGGACCAGGGTTCAATTTCCAGGACACTCATGGTGGCTCACAACTGTGACTCCAATTCTATGGGATCTGTCACCTTCTCATAGACATCCACGCAGGCAAAACACCAATCAATATCAAACACCAATAATATAAAAAAAAGCATGATAATGAAGCACTGGCAAATACAGCATATCAAGTCCTTACAGCAAAAATTGCAAGTTTCATTTTTAATCTTTCTACAAACAAGCTCACTCACTCATGTGACAGATGCTCACATGAAAGTCCATTCTATCAAGCAAAATATAACAGAGCAAAAGTGAAAAGCAGAAAAAAACTGAGTCACACAAGCAATAAATATCTTGGCAGTCAAGAATTAAGTTAAAAACAAACCTGGTTTTAGCCTGCTGTACGGCTCATATTCATGTTCCAAAGCACAGCCGACCATCTTCAAAATCCGATGCACTGCACTGCTGTCCAAGCGTAAATCCAGAGGGCCGATAACGAGGCTTTTAGTAGACTTCTCTTGAACTATTCCCAAGTCCTCATTTTTCCCTGAAGGAAAGTCTTGCTGATTTGCTGGACCTACAAGAAGTCCATTTTATATCAGTATTTTAAGCATCAATCAGACAAAAAAGTGAGCGCATGAATGTCATATTTGGTCAATGAAAACTACACTTATAAATACAACACAAAAAAGACAAAAATTGCTGGTATTTTCTTCTCTCTTTAAAAAGACCTTACTTTCAAGATCAACTCTAAAATTTTCAACCCTTCAAACAAGCTGCCGTTTTTTGGCTTTGGGCTCCCCAACCTCCTGCATCTGTACTACGTCCTTCTCACAGTTCATTCCTGCCGTTTGCTTAATGTCTGTTTGCACCTGTGTCCAGCTCATAACAACAAACTTTTTAATAAAAAATATCTATATATAGTCTTCAAAATGTACTTGGTACAGAAAAACAAGTGTTTGTTTTTTTCTGACATGCTACTGTAAAATGAAATTTTATATGTATAATTTTATATGTAATATGCATAAATGCTAATAATATAGTTGGCTATTTTAAATGTATTTTCACACAGCTATACAAGTGAAGGATTTAAAATGCCAGAACATTCTATTCTAACACTAAAATTCAACCCTTCACCCCAGGATACCTGAAGATAAATGTAATATAACAGAATATAGCCTGCCAAGGGCCCACAACTACACCATTGCCTTCATTCTCTGCTGCTTCAGGAGACGTAAATGCAAAGGCACAAGAACCCGTACCTTTGCCCCTGTTGTGCTCCACTGTATACAGGTAATCCATGTAGAAAGCACCGAACCTTTGCATGCCAGCTATTTCTGTGTATGTCTCCTGCCAATAAAGAAATGCAAGCACAACATTGGGTAGAACAGAGTGTTAAAACAGAATACATCTGGTTCACAACCATATATACTGTATCAACCCAAAGTATTGCCAAAGACAAAGAGGAGAGGTTATCCTGTAGTGTTCCTCCAGTGTCAGCCTCCTTCTAGGCGACATCTGGAACACTGTCTAGTTAATGAACAGCTCTTACGAGTATGTAGCACACACTCTTGAATTTTATCACTATCACAAAACTGTGCTGTAATGTATCCCTCAAAGAGAGTCAGTCCATAATTACCTCAATATACTGACATGAAACACTTCAAACACTGAAGATACACTAAAATGTTCTAAATGTGTGCTCATCACACCAGGAAACATTAAATTATTTAGTTTTAACTATGAAAATCAATCTCGATTGAAAAATTAAAATGTAAATTATGAGTTTATATTACTTAAATACAATAGTAACTTTGAACATATTTATCTGAAAATGCACAAATATTCTATAAGTATATTAATAAATATTACATGAAAAATTGAAAAAGGAAAAAAGTATGCAGTGAAAAGTAAAGTTTATTCCTTTTCATCAATCTTACATGTAAGAGACAACAAAAATTAATAAAGGTAATTCTGCATGTTTCCTCCATAACTAACTAACAGTGAAGTATGCATAAACAAACTATGGCTACGCTACAAAAAAAACCAAACATTTCTGCATATCCCTTAAGTCTTTCTAGGTCTAGAGCTTGAAACAAATAATTTCCAAGTGTTTCAGTAAACAATCAGACCTTGGAAGAAACTGAGACGCAAACAGCAATCACAAGTATTCACACAATGTGTCCACCCAACCACAACAAGAATTTGGCTCAAATATCTATTCCCTGACCTTATGGTGAGCTGCATCCAAGATAAACTCGGCACGGGTGCCATTGTTCTCTGGGCTTCGGTAATCAAACAATGAATTTGTAAGGTATGTCAAACCTTTTGTACTCAAATTCTCACCACAAATGAAGAAGCAGGCTTCCTGAAAAAAATAATGTATAAATCTTAACAGGAGAAAAAGTCATTAGGTTTTTATACTACACTCATCTAGTACTTAACAGAAATCACTAAAGCTCGATGTCCTATGAAAAGGGAAGGAAGGCTATCACCATATTTATTGCTCATTTTGACAAAGAACATCCAATAATCCAGAAAGGAACTCCAAGCAACTGCCAAAAACAATAAGGAAACATTTATGAATAAAATATATTTGGATTGATTGTTCAAGTGTTAAGGGCTATCAACTTTTTATATCTCCTGAGATACATAATTCTGTACATAGAAATGCAGAAAGAACAAAAAACACCCTCTTTCAAGCCACAGATGAACGTACCAAGTAGATGTTGTATGGTAATTAGTATACTTCATTATTCTTGCATTCTATCTCAAATAAGAGAAGATCTTGACTTACAGTTTCGCTTCTGTTCACATGCTCTTCAAAATCTCTAACACCCATAATTCCTTTAAGACACATGGCTCTGCAACCTACAAATCCAATCTGACAATCAAAGAAAGGCTCTCCCATCATAAGGGCCTATAAGGGAAAGGGGATATAAGAATTAAGAAAGTGTATTTAAGAAGGGCATTACAGCTTCTCTGTAGACTTTCTACATGAAACAGGCTTACTGTCTTTCAGATGCATTCAAAGATGAGACACTGAGACTTTCACAGCCTCAGGACGTCATCCTGTGAACATCATGCCTCCCATACCACACAGACACACATAAATTCAGGGGGGCTGGGGATATGGCTCAGTGGTTAAGAGCACTGGCTGCTCTTCCAGAGGTCCTGAGTTCAATGCCCAGCAACCACATGGTGGCTCACAACCATCTTTAATGATATCCGGTGTCCTCTTCTGGCGTGAGGGCATTCATGGAGGCAGAATGTTGTATACATAATAAATAGATACATACATACACACGTTAAAAAAATAAAAAAATAAAACAAATTCAGGTTGCACATTAAAGGAATAATTATTTCAACCGATAATGCTGACTAAAACAGAAAGACTGCAAGATTGTAAATCTACGTATTTTTAATAAACAACTGCTACAGAGCCCATGTTACCACGTCTGATGCTTAAAGATTACCTCAATTGTAGTTCCTTCTTGTTCCCAACACAAAACTTCCTTAGACTTTACTTTCTGTGGGCTATAATAGCTACTTTCAGCTTGCATTTCAGTGAGCTAAGAAACAGAAGAATATTTGGTAAATCAAAACTAACCGTAAATAAGCAATGCACTGTCATTTTCATTCTGCATCATGAAATAAAGTCAATTTTAAGATTCAGAAAATTTAATTACTAAGCAGAAAAACAGGTGCAAAAAAAACCAGAAAAAAAAAACAGCTGCTACAAATTATCCATGGCCTAAAGAATAGTCAAACATACTATTCTCAACATAAATGCAACATTTTAACTCCTTCATAGCACTTTAAAAAGAAAAGTCTACATATATTCAGTGGCTCAAATAATCTACCAAAACAATGTATTATTATACTATGACTTTCACTCATTTTATTCATATATAAAATATATTATATATACTATGACTTTCATTCATATTTCAGATACATTTAATTTCAATCATTTCCAAGATTCCTCACTATTTTTAAAGGAAAAGAGTTTGGTTGATTGGATTTTTGAGATGTTATCTCCCTGTGTAACCTTGGTTGGTCTAGAGTTCAATGAGAACACCAGACTGGCCTCAACTTTGCAACAAATCCCCTGCCTTTGGAGCCCAGGTGCTGGGAGCAGGAGCGCTGGCCCACCTGACCTTAGCTGCACTTCTCTGAGCACAATGGGCCGTCCTAGTCTGCATCACAGAACAATTACAGGGGTTAATTACAGTCTAGAAAGGGTCAGCATTGCACCAGTGTTTGCTCATTGGTTTGGTTAACACACATGATAGCACAAACTGGTAACAAACACAGGGAAACGGGGAGAGAGAACTCTGCACTACTGCTGCAACTTTTCTGGAATTGTAAAATTTCTTCCCGTATGAAAGGGTTATTTCTTTAATTAACGTGTCCTTCATGGATTTAGCAATGATTTGGTTACAATTATGCTGCAAAATGGATATATAATATTCTTCAAATTGAAATGCAAAAACAGCGATCACATTTTTCAAAAAAATTATACTAAATAAAAGTTATTCAACAGGAAATTATAATTTTAAGCCTAACTACTTTATACTGAGAAGCAACTAATCATTATCATTTACTCTAATAATTCTATATATTTTCTGTTACAGATAAGCTTTTATTTCATATATATTTCTAGTAATGGTATACTCAAAGTTATTTTAAACATAATTCTGAAAGCTAAAATATTAAAGTAAAATTGAATTTTAAAACTTGATCAGCCTTCAGCTGTCTACAATTACTCCAGAGAAAAAGCAATTAATTGATTAAAAGGACTTAAACATTACAAGAACAACTTAAACATTACTAGAAAAATGCTACATTTAATTTAGCATGATTTTTGTTGGACTAATATCAACTGTTCTAAATGCTAATATAGAAACATGACCTTATTTTCTGACCAAAATATAAACCACAAATTAAGTCCATACATTCTTCAAATCCAAGCAGAACCATGAATTCCAGTGTTTTCCTCCTACATACCAATGTATTTTCCTCAAAGAAAATTTGAGAAGCACAAATGCTTTACATTTTAAAAACATTCACCGACTAATAACAAATACTGACCCTCCATAGACATTTTGCATTAAGTGCCTATGCTGGTTCTATGGAATACAATTATTTTTATCAGTAATTTAATAAAAATGTTAAAAATAATTTCAATTTTAAAAGTGAATAGGCAAATATCATTAGAAAGAGTAGTACTTCACTTTTAATCTTTTACTTCCCTCACTACTTATTTTTTTAAAAAAAGCATCCTGAAGAACTCAGCTTAAAAACTCAGTCTGTGGACAGCTTGTAAGAAATATGGAATATGACTAACGACATAGTGGGTTAGAAAACAATATTTATAACATGGATAAGGTTGGAATTCTTAAAATACAGAACAGTGGAGAAGGCAGGACAGCATAGGAAAACCAAGTGTTCTATTACTGTATGTGTTAAAGCATGAAATGAAAAAATAACACCACACTGCCATCCGGGAAGAGCAGAGGTACAAACCTGACCCAGTCAGCATTCACACACCCATGCAGCACACCGCTCACTAGGATCCACTCTAAGGGATAATGTGAGTCATCACACAATTTTTCTATCTAAACTCTTCCTAACTCACTCAAAACAAAGACAAGTTTAAAACGACCTGAGTGATTTTAACACCGCTCTGCTAGAACCCCCACTATCAGACACTTCTACACTATTTACACATTAGCTCCTGGTGTTCTAAACTCACTGCCTCCTTGATAGTCCTGAACACTTGCTAGTCCTGAATGAGCATGTTTCCATAGACCCAGGAGGCTTTCTCTTTCATGCACCTTTGTTAAATGCTTCCTTCACAAGACAGCCTTTCTCAGTCAACCAGTTTTTTTTTATTTTATTTTTTCAAAGTTTATTAAATTATAAAAGTTTCCATTTCCACCCCTCCTCCCAACACCCTCCCATTCGCCCCACTCCCTCTCCTCCTCCCTCTCCATCCCTAAGAGCAGTCAGGGTTTCCTGCCCTGTGGGAAGTTCAAGTTCCTCCCCCCTCCCTCCAGGTCCAGGAAGGTGAGTATCCAAACAGACTGGATCCCAAAAATCCAGTATATGCAGAGGAAACAAGTCCCAGTGTCATTGTCAATGGCCTTTCAGAAAGACTACGGGCCAGCCACATTCAGAGAATCCGGCCACATTCAGAGAATCTGGTTGGATCATGTGCTTGTTCAGTCCCAGTCCAACTGGCCTTGGTGAACTCTCATTAGATCAGTCCCCTTGTATCAGTGGGTGATCGCACCCCTCGCGGTCCTGATTTCCTTTTTCATGTTCTTCCTCCTCAATAGAAGAATGGTTAAAGGTGTGGAACATATACACATTAGAGTTTTACTCAGCGGTAAAAAACAATGACATCTTGAATTTTGCATGCAAATGGATGGAAATACAAAACGCTTTACTGAGTGAGGTAAGCCAGACCCAAAAAGAGGAATATGGTATGTATTCACTCATAAGTGGATTCTAGTCATAATTAAAGGTCTTTGAGCCTATTATTCATGATCCTAGAGAAGCTAAATAAGAAGGTGAACCTGAAGAAAATCATGTAGTTATCCTCCAGGAGATTGGAAATAGACAAGAGTGCCAGAACCTTCATCTGGCGATGGATGGAGATAGAGACAGAGACCCACATTGGAACACTGGACTTAACTCCCTAGGTCCAAATGAGAAGCAGAAGGAAAGAGAACGTGAGCAAAGAAGGCAAGACCAGAGGGAACCTTCATCCGACAATGGATGGCGATACAGACGGAGACCCACATTGGAGCACCGAACTGAGCCCCCCAAGGTCCAAATGAGGAGCAGAAGGAGGAAGAACATGAAAAAGGAAATCAGTCAACCAGTTTTAAAATGCATAATCCTCTCCCTTTCAATGCAACACTCACTGTTACTTTCCTCTCTTTCTTACCTAACTTATTCATAAACATGTTTTCCCACACATTGGCTTTAATTACAATGTACATCCTAACAGACCAGGACTGCTGACCTCACTGGGTCAGACTCAGAGGGACACAGTTGGCATCAACAAATATTTGAATTTGGGCAGAGCAGTGGGTGGCTGTAGCCCTCCTACCACTTCATAGGTAGAGGATGCAGAATCAGAAGTGCAATGTCAAGGGCTGAAGAGATGGCTCAGCAGTTAAGAGCACTGACACCTCTTTCAGAGGCCACAGGTTCAATTCCCAGCAACCACTTGGCAGCTTACAACTATCTGTAACTCCAGTTCTAGGGAACCTGACACCCTCACACCAAAGCACATAAAATAAAAATAAATAATTTTTTTTAAAAAGAAATGCAATATTATCCACAGCTATTAAACAGAAAATGTGATGCCAGCCTGTGCTACACTGACTCTAAGTGAAATAAGTAAGTAACTATTTGCTGCAAAGATTAAGAACTGGTTAAAGATGTGTATGGCAATGGTATTAGAAAAAGCTAGGAAACAATTCAAAATTCAAGCTGAGTTACATCTGAAAGGAAAGGCAAAATATTGTCAAAGAACAAATAAAGGATACCAAAGTACTAGTAACTATGATTATACAAAGAACGTTCCCTTTTTCTCACCGTGGTCATACATGTTGTATACTATATTTGAATATACAGTTATATTCATTTTTAGTAAAGAGAGTAGTAAAGTATGTTGAATGCTGTTTAAAATAGAAGAGGACATAGAAACAAAATTGAACTCTTAAGCAAAGAGAAGAGGAAAATATTCCTTTAAAAATAAAAATGCAAAAATAAATACATACATACACACATACATACATACACAAATTAATTAAAAATGTGGCTAGAGAAATCGTTTCAGCAGTTAGGCACATTTGTCACAGCTGTAGAGGGTTGGATCTGGTGTCATGTACCATATGGGGGCTCATAACTATTCTAAGTTCAGTATTAGGACCTCAGCAAGCACCAGAATCATACAGTACACACACACACACACACACACACACACACACACACACACACACACACACACA